CCATGTCCCACCCCTCCACCTAATTTCATAGAAATCAGCTTGGTGGTTTTGACGTAAGCCTGCTAACTAATAAAGAAACAAATGATAAAAACATAACCTCCTTGGTTGAGGTAGCAGAGAAAAACATCCGTCCATCTTATCATATGAGAGTTGCGGAGAGGCTGGAGCATCACAGTTGACATTAAGCAAAAGGTTGGGTACACCCAACGCCAGTAAAGAACGAAAGAAGTATTCTATTGTCAGTAGTTTGAGTTCATCAACCACAGTATAGGAACTGCATGAAACCTCTTTAAGATTTTCATTCAAATGTTTCTGTAATCAGAAGTTCATACCTTAATCCAGCTGAGATCTGTCCAATTCAAAGAATAGAGAAAAGTTAACCCTAATTTATAATTTAACAAACTGAGAAGAAAAGTTCTCAAGTCCTTTAACGTAAGACTTTTGTGTTCAATGTACTATTAAACTGTACATGAGATTAATGCATCTCTGACTGCCACACAATATCACAAACTCAATCAGTGCTAAAGCAAACTGTAAGATGAGATAATCATTATTAGTCCCACAACGGGGAAATGTATATCTCATCAACTTCGGCGGAAAGACAACAGTGAATGAATTAAATAAGAATAATCAAACATTCCTCTACATGAGCATCTTGATATGCTCTGAGAGCTGCGTTGCTCTGTTTCTAACGCTGCCACGCGGAAACACAAGCAGGACAAAATGTTTCCTACAGCTCCAGAGGGAACACCCGCAGAGACAGCCCATCATGAGGCCATTTTGGCATTCATGAGCATGATTGATGACACGGCGATGGAGGCAGCGTTTGAGAAATCCCCCTCTGCTTCAGGACAAGAGATGATTGTTTGGATTCTTTCTTTTCTGATAGTATCCCCCTCTGCTTCTCTGTAGGACACATTCACGTTGTATTACTGTATGTGGCAGAATGCAGCCTCAAATACTGGCGCCACACAGAAACTCAATCAATGACTGCCAATCCCAAAAGTTCAATTATCTTTCTGATGTTTGCAGGGTGAAATGTAAAAGCATATACTGATCAACAGCTGTGATCCTGCAGAACTCTACTACCCATGCAGATCTGCTGTATCTCTGTGTGTGACTGACAGGAAGGTCACAATAATCTGACAATACATCACAGCAATACTGACGTATGCTGCAGGGGCTAACAAAGTCACCTGGTCCTTCCTGCACACAGGCACTCCCATTTAGCCCTTTTTAATCCCCTACATCCCATTACACGACAGTGGAGAACCTGTGCACATTACACGCTTCAGCAGAGATCGTTTTGCCTCATTGTTCAGGCAGCCAAGGATCACATGAAATATCAGCAATGTTATTTCCTTCCCCGTCTCTCCGTCTCTTGGCTGGGAGTAAACAGCGCCGGACGTCAGATGACTAGGTGACAGAACACGACATGTTAAGAAGTTCCACTGAAACCTGCAGTCAGCCGTGTGACTCTCTTTCCACATCTTCCCATCTTGTCTAAGACCTTGGGTAATGCACTGGAAACTGAGACGGTGAGGGCAACAGTAAGAGCAGGTCTCTTTAACCAGAGCGAAGAAAAACGTTAAAAATGTTAAGGATTTAAAATGCTAAAAATGTGTGGATTTGGTAGTAATCAAACTAGATCAAAATAAAGTACGGTATGCTGTGGAGGGGGAGCTGCTCAGGGCATTTTAAGATGTATGATCACTCCAAAAACATTTAGAGAAATCTGATGCTCATGCACCCATGTTTCAAAAATGCCTTCACCGTTTTGCTGCTGACAGCCTCCAGTCTGCCCCGGTCAGCAGGCAGAAGCTCACCCGAGTCTTGCGGAATTACTGTATCATCTGGGCCTTTAGACTTTAGATAATAACAACATTTCAGTCAATAACACTGACTCCACTGCTGTCATTCCACCTGACCTGGTTCCTTCTGTTTGACCAAACACCAACAGCAGCAAAGAATCGGCAATTTTAGGCTTTTTACTTGTACCTGCAGCTGAGCATTTTAAGTGGTGCTGTGAACACTATATCCTGCTATTATTCTACCATTATATCTGCTGATGGTTGAACCATCACAAACACGATTGATTTTGGTAAGACGAGGATCTCATATTGAAAAAGACTGAATGCAAACAGAAGTATTTATTAACATAAAAAAAACGTCATACATATAGCATGGTCCCATATTGCATCTCACATCAAAAGCAGCAAGAGCTCACACATCTATCACCACAGCTTCACGTTGAAGGCTCTCCCTGAATCGGCTAATGCTGATTTCAAGAAACCAAACAGCAAAGAGCCGTCATTTAACATGAACGTACAGTACGTCATGCAGGGGCAGTGAAAGCATCATTTATATACAGCAGGTGTAGCACTAACATCAAGGCTGACATTTTTCTCAAATCATTAGTGAGTTAATAGAGTGTGATGGCAGCTGTAAGGCTGGCAGAAACAATAAGCTATACGGGAAGCTTTAAGAGCCGCTCTCCATCGAGTCCCAGGAGGACCAACTAATCTACAAGTACTGGAATATTAACTCCAAACTAATGTCAAGTATGAATATGCTCCCCATCTGCCACAGGGGCGCTCTTAACCCGTTGCACCCAGTGCCTAATGGTTAATATTACACAGCAGTGATATGAAAAAAAATTACAATGAAGGTCTAGAAAATGTGTGAGGTTTTGTTATGTTACTGAGGAATCTGTCAGTAAAACCCTTCAACATACATATCATGTAGCTCATAAAGCCTTGAACTCCACAGTAATTCTATAGAATAATATTAAAATAGTACTTTAAAACTGTTAATAGTGAGTACACTTGCTGGTTTTTTCAATAACTACTCAAGCATTTCCACTTTTACTTCAGTCAAGCATTGGCTTAACCCCGATGTTGTTTGCATGAATGAAAGGCAGTCTGTCAGATGCCTGAAGGACATGCCCATCACCATTTGAATTTTGCTGAGGTGTTGATAACGTGTTGTCTCTCCGGCAGACGTGCATAAGGTTATGGGACTCATTCAAAGAACAGATCAAAAGGCGTTTATTCAGGGTGACATCATCTGGAGATGAGAGAGATTGCATTTTTCACTCATTTGGGAGATTAGTTGTGATGTCAGGGACCCGGATCCAAAGGATTTAATCAGTTTGTTATTCAACCCATCTCTGAGCAGGTGCTCCCATTGTCAAATACGCAGCTTTTTTTCACATGTGGCAGATTCCTGCTTCTACAGAAAGGGTCATTGGCCCTGAAGCTTAACAATGACGACCTGGAGAGAAATCTCTGCTGGGTTAATAGGAAACGTCTTTTTCTATCCTTTGGATGAAGACATATTGTCACAAAAATAACACCTGTATTGATATTGGTGCTAATAAACATCCTGTAAATCACAGAAATGTATAAATTAATATCATGAACCTTTAGAACGTATTTGGGGATAGATGTAGGGTGTACACAGTGTACAGGAGTCATTTTTATTATATAGTTACAAGTAATAAAATATTAATCGTCATCTACTTTTTCCTGTTTGTAAACAAGAATATTTTTGAGGATAGTATTTTAAATACTGTTGCTTAATTTTCCAGGTTCATATAGTCAACAGTGAATCTAACTAAAAATCATTCAATCTAAATTATAAACTCTTACGATCTCTGTCTGTTTTATACCTTGTGACTGTCCATACAGGCCTGAATGTGTCGTTCAGTCAATAACAAATTAAATAACTGCTCAGTATAGGGCAGTGGCTGAAATTATGTACAATGGGTGATTCATGGTTATGGACTGAAGCATTGCCAGAGCCAGCAGTTCCACTTCACCTTATCACCTCATTTTCGCGGGAATCAGAGTTAATCTGCAGAGTTGACCATTTCATTATCTCTGCTTGGTTAGCGCTGTCAGGGACCTCTGCTGGACACACTCATCCCAACACTGCTGGTTTCACATGTAGTGTCGATGCTGGCTGATATGAATTCAATTCTTATTTTAATTGTATTGCACCAAATTGGAACATATTTTACACAAACTTTACACAGTAAGGTAAACAGTTTATAATAATATAGGGAAATTCGAAAGTTCCCACAACGAGCACGATTGTGGAGAGCAAAGGACGAAACCTCTCGAAGAACCAGACTCAAGGTGTGTCCAGTGGTGGAGACATCATTATAGGGTGCAATCACCAAGCCTCACACCCTATCTACTTACCACTATGCCGATGGAGGGATGGGTGAAGTGTTTGAGTCCACTAAACCCTTTTGGACTTTCAGAAGTAAACAGTGTTGCAGCCAAGTCCAATACAATTCAAGTAAATGGTGACCGATTCTTCGAACGTAAAAAAGCTGTCTTCACATGTGAATTGTGACTACAAACATGGTTTAAATGACCTAGTTTTGAGTCGAATTTGAATATCGGGGCTTATGGACACTCTCATGACACCCCAGGAGCAGTATGGAGGCATTTTAAGTTTTTTCGGTTTTTTAATTTTTACGTTTGAAGAATAAATCACCAGTTACTTCAATTGTATTGAATTTGTCTGCAATGCTGTTTAGCCCTGAGACTCCAAAAGGGTTTTGTGGACTCAAACACTTCATCCACCCTTCCATTGTAAATAAGTAAATTTCCATTTTTGGGTGAACTATCCCATTAACTATAGTGCTGTGCGTCCTGTTCTGTCCTGTCCTGTCCTGTCCTGTCAATGTGGGACGCAGGAGGCCGCTCCAGATGTTGGTCACCACCCTGTCAGGTCAATAAGGACAATTTGGCATCTGAGCGCATCCCTTGTGTGTGGATTAAAAACTTCTCTCGGTGACTCACTGCAACTCCAGAGAGTGACAGGTGGTGGATGCAGTCTGCGGGACGCTCCTGCACCATAAAAGCGTTTCTTTTTTTGTTGCATCTTCAATGAGTTGCAGCGGGATCATTAGTTTCCATTAGCTCTCTTCCATGCACACTTCAAATGAATATGCAGGAAAGATGCATTTGAAAGGTGTTGACCCTTACCTGGGATCTCCTGGAGAGGAACATGTGCGAAGCTGAAGCCTTTCCCGATGCACGCCTCCCTCACCTCGCTGCAATTCCGCGCTTTAAAATCTGCCCTCGCCGCAACATAGAGCACAGAGAAAGTGCACAGGATGGTCTCTAGTCTGAGCATTGTTCACTTCTGCAACAGATCCCTTAATGTGTCAGGTTCTCTGCAGCAGGGTCCCGCTTGCTGGTGAAACTCCAAATGCAGCAGCAGCAGCAGCAGATCCGCAGGTATATACTTGATGAAGCCTTTCCCAACTAAACTACGAGTAAACACATTTCCCCCTTTTCCTCAAGAAAGAAAAAAGAAGCTAAACGGGGCTGTGCTGCAGCACAGAGTGATGAATCAAAGTCCCCCCGGCGCCGCAGACAAGAGAACCGAGAGGGTCGAGGTGCCACATGAATCCAGACGGTGCGCAATTCTCCCTCAGGGCGCGTTGAATCCAACTTCGCGGAGCGCACGGAGCCTCCTGGTCTCTGCTGCGCTGGAGTGGAAATGCTGTGCAGAGTCAGTGTGTGTTCGGATCAGATGCACAAGCGGAATACAAAATATGGAGTGGAATCCAGCCTCATCCATTCCAGTGGGGGTGTGGGCTACAAGTCGGCACCTACCACCGAGGATGTGTTGGGAAATAAACCAGAAAAACATTTAAGGGCCCAGGGGTGCGTAGACCATGGGTTGTAATAAAAATATCAGAGAGGAGAGAAAAGATGTACCTGATTTTTCTGAAGTTTTCTCAGTTAAGGTATAAACAGCATCAGACATAGACAGTATTGCTTTCGACTCCCTGGTAAATCTTTGAGTCACAGCTTGAGTATCTGGGATATATTTGGGGATATATATATATATATATATATATATATATATATATATATAAGTAAAACAGTTATATAGCAAAATACTTCACTATAAAACCTTATGAGTGTATTTTACTTGCTTTAAAATAATATTCAAAATGTGCCTCCTTCCAGTTTTTTCACCTCATCAAAGAGGTAATGTTTTCATCTGCATTTGTTTGTTTGTTAGCTATCAGGCTTATGCAAATTACACATTTGTTACATGGAGTCAGGTATTTATTTGTATTATTATTTTAAAAAAGAGTACTGACAGGACAGGGGCAGTTCAGGTGCCAATCAGATGTCAGCTGGGGCCAGTGCAGATACAAATAAAATCAGATCTGGTGAATTTAAATGTAGTTTCATGAAGGGACTGCTGGGCCTTAGTGGAGGTATATGCTCGACTCAGTGTCATATTTTTTTTTTGTTATTAGCATTATAATTATCGTCACATAAAATCTTCTTCAACCATTATTGAGACCTATACTATGATAATGTTCCTTTGGTGGTGATTTTTCAGAATTCAGAAAATGTAACGTTATTTTTTCCACATTCATGTAACACCAAAGCAAAACACCAGAAGCACAGAATCAAATCGCATTAACTTGAGGATCTAAAGGATTCGAGGAGGACCAGAAGGCAAGCATTCATGGCTTTATTGATTTTGGAACAGCTTGATCCTTGGGTAGATCAACAGTGGATTAACATGGGCTGCAATGAATTCCTATTGGTACAATGCCACATTTTGAAAGGTACTTTAAAGTGACAGCTTCCTTCAGTGCTGGATGCTGCCCTGGAAGATTTTGGATTAGATGTGTAAATCCTCAGGTTCAGGTTTAGAGGAGAAAGAGTCTAATTTTCTGTGGTGAAAGAGTCTCAACTTCTGTTTCATGGGGTCACATGTATATTTTCAGGAGATAAATTATGTTAAAAAAAAACTTTGTTTTGATGCTCAATATGTCCCTGATTGGTAACAAGAGGAATACTATTTTCCTGAGGTGGTCATGACCAATAGAAAAAATCCTTGTTGGTCTTTATTATTTTAGATCAGAACTAGACTTTGTCTGTGAAAACAATTGTCTGTAAATACAGATGAATGATGCATATACTTTATACCATCCACACACAAAGCTATGATATCCTCTTTACTGCCATCTTGCATTGATACATGTCATCATTTCACCCTGTATTATAGATTCAAATAACTATTAAAACCAATTTACTGGGGAAAAAATTACATTCAGACATAGTGTGTGATAAGAACTACCTTAAAGGTACAGTCTGTAGAATTTAGTGATATCTAGTGGTGAAGTTGCTTGTTGCAATTGAACACCCCTCACCTCATCCTCCCCTTCCAAACATGAAAAAGAACCTGTGGTAGATTTCAGTTGTCATAAAAACTAGTTTGTCCAGTCTGGACTACTGTAAAAATCATGGCGGCCTCCGTAGAGAGGGTCCCCTCGATGTAAATATAAATTATTTAAACATAAAGTATTTAAATATAAAGGGCCTTTTCTGGGGTAAAGAAAACTACAATTCATATAATTTAGATGAAACGAACTGGTGAAAACATCATGAGGATTATTCTACATTAAATTTCTGCCAAGAGGTCCCTTTCACCTAAATCTTACACAATGGACCTTTAAATGATGGAAACTATCCTTGAAAAAGAGATATGAGACATGTTTTAGGCAGACACTTCCACTAACATGGAGGAGGTAGGGTTTGTGGCGTATATTGCAGCCAGCCACCGGGGGGGGCAAATGAGACAGTTTGGCTTCACTTTGGGAAACTCTCATGTCGACCATCTTCTTACAGCCTGCAGTCCATGGAGAGCACACACAAATCTTACACTAAACTTTACTCCCATGAGTCTTCATGTGTCAGATGTCATGTTTTGTCCATGATGCACTTACAGAAATTAAAAAACCTGCTCAAACTCTATTGTTAACATAATCTGAAGAACAATTGTAGTTTCCAAAATAGGCCATCGAATTAAAGGCTGACAGAAGCAGCGGTTAGTCTGAGTGATCCCTCAGCTCCCTTCATGAATACTCCGCTCCACTTCTACAGTGAGACTTCTTGACCTGGACATGTCACAGTTAATTAACGTATCCAACTCTGAAACTCAGGGGACAGTTTCAGCGAAATGAAAGATTTTAATACAATGAAAAATTTATTTAATGGGAAATTCTGCAGCTAAAATCGCTGGTCAAGTTGACTAACTAGACAGTGAAGGACTCCATGAATGGTTTCTGTGTGTGTGTATGTATATGCATTGGCTTCAGTGCTATGTGTGCATCCCTACAGTGTGTCTGTAGTTGGGGCAGCTGCTCCCGCTCACACCCCATATGTCGGAGAAAATCCAAGTTTATTCTTGGCAGCAACCAAGGTGTTAGAATCGGAGGCGTGGAGACACCCAGAGCTGATGTCATGATCTAATGAAACCAGAATCATCTGTAAATAGAGTGCCTTAAAGGTTCAGTGTGTGAGATTTAGGTGAAAGGAATTTGTAGCAGAAATTGAATATAAAATAATTCTAGTGGTGTTTTCACTGATGTGTAATTATCTAAATTGTATGAATTGTTGTTTTCTTTACCATAGAATGGGCCCTTTATATCTGAAAACTTTATATTTACATGGAGGGGGGTCCTCTCTGTGGAGGCCGCCATGTTTTTTTACTGTCGTCTAAACTGGACAAACTGAAACCTTTTGAGTTTTCATGACAACTGAAGTTCACTACAGGTTCTCTTTCATGTTTGGAAGGGGAGGATGAAATGAGAAGTATCCAGCTGCAACATGCAACTTCACCTCTAGATGTCACTAAATTCTTCACACTGAACCTTTAACACTCCTGTTGTTGTTCGACAGTGTCCATGAATATGATCAACAGAGAAGGAGTGTAAAGCACATGCGTGTATGGATCTCATGTTATTTTTGTGGCAAGCACAGAGCATGCTTGACTTAATACCAATAATCTGAATAGGACCATCTCTCTCATTGTAAAGGGACTACTTTACTCATGGTAACTGCCACAATATACATGTGCAGTATATCTTCAACAAATCCTCAATACGAGTACACAGGCGGCGTAATCCCTGCGACTCCTTTATTGTCTTTGCTGGAGTGAAAACACTGTTTGTTGTTCTGCAATGTGATATTACTCTTGAATCCAAGGTTCAAGCAGCATAGATCCCCTGTCATGCATCTCTGGTATAGGGTTTTTCATATTGGCTGTGGAGTGTCTGTGCAGCTCTGCCTGTGTTGCTCCCAAATCCTCGACAGAGGAGGCAGGTCAATCTCTAAATTTCAAAAATGTTTATTATTTTAATCAGTGTGTCACATATGTATGTCATGCTGTTTTAAACCAATTTGTTGAAGTCTTGTGAAGAAAAATTTCCAATGTGAAAGGTGCCACCAATACACACGTTCAACCGATCGTGAGTCTGTCTCAGTTGTCAATCATTATAGCATCGATTAATAAATAAAAACAAAACTTACTGGTAAATTACTCGAACAAACATAACTGTGATTTGAACTATACCTCATTCTAAACCCATCTTTGAGAAACATTTATTTGAACTTGTGTGTACTTTGACTTTTTAGTTTGGCCCATCTGCCATCCACTAACATGGAGGAAAAAGGGATTATGAGTTATACTGCAGCCAGCCACCAGGGGGTGACTGAAATGCTTTGGCTTCAATTTTGGGAAGCAGTCATTTTCTCTATCCTTACATACAGGATACAGTCAGTGGTGTGTAGCAAGGACACAATCTGCACTGTCTCTGTTTTCTACTCTTAATTTAACTACTGCCAATCACAGTGTTTGTGTCCCTGGGTGGTTCAAGCCAATAATATGCATATGGTACTTTAATATTAAAGATTCCTGCTGCAATCTTCTCTCTGTCCAGTAATCCCCATCCCCACCATGGTTACAGTCTGTGTATTGGCAATAAGCCTGACACAAAATGAATCTTCAGAGGGGGTGACTCAATTCAAAGTGTTTCCTCAGAACACAAAAAAGTTACAAGATTCACTCTGCATGTGCTCGACTTGGCACAGCGGTCAAAAACCCGCTCAATTCACTCCGTGACTGTAAGTCCAACTAAGAGCTGAGGGCTATGGTGTGTCTATGGCCAAAGGAGCCTTTGAACATTTTTACTACTAAGTCACTCATTGCCTTCAGTGTTATTCAATTCTAAATTCCCTTTCTTTATATTCTTTGTGCTGATCCTTGCCACAGTTTTAGTCATGTAATAAACAAAGTAAAGAGCCAAACCCCACACTCTTAGTTATTTACCTCAAGATAATGTCCAGATACAACTATCAGTTAAAGTAATGAGATCACTTATTGGTAATTCTGGATTCTTGCCATTGTGCATTGTGCCAATAAAGGTCTGAAGGCTCTCATTTTAATTTATATTTCTAAAGTTTCTGTTGGGTTTTTTATTTTTTATGTCACAGAGCTACAGCAGACTAACCACTCTGGTTACATTTAAATCACTGTTTGAGGTAAATATTTCATAGACACATCAGATAGGAACATGTACAAGATTAGTTTTTTGCTGAAAAGAGACAAAATATATAGCTGGAGGAGTTTGCTCATAGTCCAGTATAAAAATCCA